CCAGTTGGTCCATCATCCTTGCTCTGCTCATGTCTGTCTAACTGCCTAGCACATCCCCTCAAGGAGCTTGGCTCTGAATTCTTTTAGGGGAAAGGGTTGTCACATCACTTCTGAAGCTACTTCCATGCTGAGGAGGAGGCGGAGATTCTCTTTCAGAGCCAAGAGATCTTGCTCTCTGTCGGAGGGACAATGCCTGGGCATGGAAGGAGATGTCTAGAGGTGATAACCCCTGAGTACAAGTAGGGCTTGTAACCTGATGGAGACAAACTGTTATAAAATTTCAAAAGTTAGAACAGCAAGAATTACGACAAACAGTCCGGTGGAAGGAACAAAACATACAAAAAACAAAACAACAAACATTTCAATTCTAATAATTCCCTATTGAGATATAATTTTTCTCCCTAAAATCACCCTTATTTTTATTAAAGAATCAAATTAAGATCAATTTATCTATTGCATTAAGTCTAGTTTCATTTGCAAAACACAACAAGATTAGCAATTGACCTCCTTTGCTGGAATTTCATGATTGAGTCTCAATGTGCCCCTCAGGGCAGAGAAGCCAAGCCATCCAGCTGCCCTCAGGCCTGCCTGGAATATCTGCAGGGTTAGGCAAATTCTTCACCAAGATCTGTACCTGTGGTGGCTCCACCAGGGCCCAAACCCCAATCCTCAAGGCTCACCATAAATATGGCCCAGCCAGCATTGAGTGTCGACCTATGAACCAAGAAGTCATGGTTTGATTCCTGGTCAGGGCACATGCCTGTGTTGTGGGCTTGATTTTCAGTGTGGGGCATGCAGGAGGCAGCTGATAAATGATTCTCTCTCATAATTGATGTTTCTGTCTCTCCCTCCCTCTCCCTTCCTCTCCTGAATCAACAAAAATATTTTTTAAATTTAAATATGGAACTGTCATTTGACCCAGTGATCCCACTTCTACAAATATATCCCAAGAATCCCAAAACACCAACCAGAAAGAATGTATGCAACCCTATGTTCATAGCAGCTCAATTTGTAATAGCTAAGATCTGGAAAGAGCCCAGTGCCCATCAGTAGATGAGTGGATAAAAAAGCTCTGGAATATACCATGGAATACTATACAGCAGTAAAAAAGAAGAATCTCTTACCCCTTGAGACAGCATGGAGGGACGTGGAGAGTATCATGGTGAGTGCAATAAGCCAGTCAGAGAAAGACAAGTATCACATGATCTCACTCATATGTGAAATCTAAGTAACAAAATACACTGATGGAATGGAGTGGATCCAGAGACATGGAAGCATGGAACAGAGTGCAGAATCTCAGACGGAAGGCAGGGGAGGGTGGGAGGGTGGGAGATGATCAACCAAACAACTTCTATGCATATATGCATAACCCATGGACACAGACAACAGGGTGATGAAGGCCTGGGCCAGGGAGGGGTCAATGGTGGGAAAAGGGGGACATATGTAATACTTTCAACAATAAAGATTTTTTTTAAAGAAACAAAGAAAAAGAGCCCAAATAAATAAAATCAGAAAAGAAAGAGACGAAGTAATATCTGAGATCACAGAAATACAAAGAATTGTAAAAAAATAATAATAATACGATGAACAACTATAAGCCAATAAGCTGAACAACGTGGGCAAAATGGACAAAATTCTAGAAACATACTGTGGGAGCACAGGTCCTTCTCTGCTAGGAACTGGACCTTCACGGATGCCGGGTATTGGACTGAGAAGATATGAGCAGTTGTAGGCATATAGAAGAGTCATTATTGCTGACCAAGTAGCCATTACTAAGGCCATCAGACAAAACATTTCTTCAAAGTAGCTTCACAAAGTAGCCATACAAGGCAGCCCTTACTAATACAGTAGCAAACACATGAGCTATACTAAGCAGCCACACACTGGCTGGTCAACAACACATCTTTATGCCAGTTTAGACAAAAGAGGCTTCTTGCCAAATAGTGACATCAGTATTTGGGTTATAGAAAAGTACGCCAGCGCAGTGTATACTGAAAGGGTTAATCAAGAAACAGGGCTCTAATTCAGCAGGGGCTAACAAAAGAAAGATTGTTCTGCAAGCCTAAGCCTTGCACAAACATGCTCCTCTTGAGTGGTTATTTCATAGAAATTCCTGAAGACCATAACCCTGAACAGCTTCCAGGAGGAAGTAGTCTGGAGCCAGCGGAAGGACAAAGGGCAAGACCGTAAAACTACGACCAGGGGCATGGTTCTGATATGTGTGTCAAGCCTAAGCCATCTGCAGCTCTCCCTACGCACATAAAAAGCCTGCTCCCTTCCCATTCAGCATTGACTCCTTTCTCGGACTCAGCCCACCTGCACCCAGGTGCCTTAAATAACTATCTTTTTTACTACACTGAGCCTTGAGTCAGTTCTGTGCAACCCCAGCCCAACTCCAAACCTTTCATATACAATACAATCACTGTGTCCTTGCTCATATTAACCTTGGACATCCGGCATACTCTGAACAGGGCCCCCACACTCCAATTGGCCTTGAACATTTGGCATACTTTGATTAAGGGCTCCCACACATACAATCTTCTAAAACTCAATCAGGAAGAATCAGAAAACCTGAATAGACCAATAACAACTAATGAAATTGAAGCAGTAATCAAAAAAACTCCCAGCAAGCAAAAGTCCTGGACTGGATGGTTTTACAGGCAAATTTTACCAAATATTCAAAGAACTAACACCTATCCTCCTCAAAGTATTTCAAAAAATTCAAGAGGAGGGAAGACTTCCAAGCTCTTTTTACAAGGCCAGGATTATCCTAATTCCAAAAACAGATAAAGATACTAGAAAGAAAGAAAATTACAGGCCAATATCCCTGATGAACAAAGATGATAAAATTCTCAACAAAATATTAGGAAATCAGGTCCAGCAATACATTAAAAAGATCATATCATACACCTTGATGAAGTGGGATTTATTCCATGGATGCAAGGCTGGTACAATATTTGCAAATCAATTACTGTATTGTGACACATCACATAAATAAAACTAAGGATAAAAATCACACGTTCCTATCAATAAAGGCCAAAAAAAATCATTTGACAAAATCCAGCACCCATTTATGATAAAAACTCTCAGAAAAGTGGGAATAGAGGGATCATACCTCAACAGAATAAAGGCCATACCATATATGACAAACCTACAGCCACCATCATACTCCATGAGTTAAATGTAAGTCGTGAAACCATAAAACCCCTAGAACAGCGGTTCTCAACCTGTGGGTCGCGACCCCTTTGGGGGTCAGACGACCCTTTCACAGGAGTTGCCTAAGACCATCGGAAAACACATATATAATTACATATTGTTTTTGTGATTAATCACTATGCTTTAATTATGTTCAATTTGTAATAATGAAATTGGGGGTCACCACAACATGAGGAACTGTATTAAAGGGTCGCGGCATTAGGAAGGTTGAGAATCACTGCCCTAGAAGAAAACATAAGCAGTAAAATCTCAGACATCTCACATAGCAATGTTTTTGACAATACATCTACTGAAGCATGAGAAACAAAGGAAAAATAAACAATGGGACTACATCAAACTAAAGAGCTTCTGCACATGAAAAGAAACCACCAACAAACTGTTAATAAGGGGTTAATTTCCAAAATATAGAAAGAACCCCTACAACTCAACAAAAGGAAGACAAACAATCCAATTTAAAATGGGCAAAGGACCTGAATAGACACTTCTCCAAAGAGGGCATACAGATGGCCAATAAACATGAAAAAATGCTCAGCGTCACTGATCATCAGAGAGATGCAAATTAAAAATACAATGAGGTATCACCTCACACCTGTCAGAATGGCTACTATCAAGAAATCAACAAACAAGTGCCAGTGAGGATATGGAGAAATGGGAACCCTCTAGCACTGCTGGTGGGAATGCTGATCGGTGCAGCCACTGTGGAGTTTCCTCAAAAAATTAAAAATGGCACAAGCTGGTTTGGCTCAGTGGATAGAGAGTTGGCCTTCGGCCTAAAGGGTGCGGGTTCTATTCCAGTCAAGGACGCATGCCCAGGTTGCAGGCTCGATCCCCAGTAGGGGGCATGCAGGAGGCAGCTAATCGGTGACTGTCTCTCATCATTGATGTTTCTGTCTCTCCTTCTCCCTTCCTCTCTGAAATCAATAATAAATAAATAAAACAAGTAACTTTAAAAAAAATTAAAAATGGAGCTGCCATTTGACTCTGTGATCCCACCTCTAGGAATATATCCTATGAATCCCAAAACACCAATTAGAAAGAATATATGCACCCCTATGTTCATAGCAGCGCAATTTACAGTGGCTAAGATCTGGAAAGAGCCCAAGTGTCCATTAGTAGATGAGTGGATAAAAAAAAGCTGTGGTACATTTTCACCATGGAATTCCTTGCGGCTATAAAAAAGAAGGCTCTCTTACCCTTTGAGACAGTATGGATGGACTTAGAGATTATTATGCTAAGCGAAAAAAGCCAGTCAGAGAAAGACAAATATCACATGATCTCACTTATATGTGGAATCTAATTAACAAAATAAGCTGATGATCAAAATACGTCCAGAAAAAAAAAATACGTCCAGAAATATGAATAAATGGTACAAGATGACAGATCTCAGAGGGGAAGGGTGTGGTGGGGAATGGGAAGAGATTAATCAAAGAATACATACTAGTATGCATAGCCCATGGACACAGACAATAGTGGGATGTAGGGCGGGCAGGCGTTGGGTGGAGTGGAGCAAAGAGTAGGAGGCGGGTAATGAGAGGTATCTGTAATACTGTTAACAAAGTAAAAAACTAAATTTTTAAATTTGTTTAGATAAAGGTTTCAAATCTGCTTCTTCTCCAAGGAAACACCAAATGCAGATGACACCAGTGCTATAGGAAGGCCTGGAATTCCAGGGGCCTTGGAATGGGAGGCTGCAGCAGCTTCCATGGAGGATTTGGCAGCAGCATCCAGGGCCAAAGTCATGGCGGGGGTCACGACTGGGCTGAGGCCGTGTAACTAGCGGAGGCATGAACGAGGACAAGGAGTGGGTCCCTGTCACCACGCTGGGTCACCTGCTTAAGAACATGAAGATCAAATCCCTGGAGAATATCTGTCTCTTCTCTCTGCCCATCAAAGAATCTGAGATCATTGACTTTTTTCTGGGGACATCTCTCAAGGATGAGGTTTTGAAAAATATGCCCATGCAAAAGCAGATGCGCTGGCCAGAGGACCCGGTTCCAGTGCTCCAAGGAAGTAGCCACTGCTATCCGTGGAGTCGTCATCCTGATCAAGCTCTCTAGTGTCCCTGTGCAGTGAGGCTACTAGAGGAACAAGATTGGCAAGCCCCACACCATCCCTTACAAGAAGACTAGCTGATGTAGCTCTGTGCTGGTGTGCCTCATCTCTGCCCCAGAATTACTGGCATCATCTCATCCCCTGTGCCCAAGAAGCTGCTGCTGATGGCTGGTATTGACGACTGCTGTACCTCGGCCAGGGGCTGCACTGCCACCCTGGGCAACTTCACCAAGACCACCTTTGTTGCTGTCTCTAAGACCTACAGCTATCTCACCCCAGACTTCTGAAAAGAGACCGTGTTCACCACGCCTCCCGATCAGGAATTCACTGACCCTCTTGTAAAGACTCACACCAGAGTTTCTGTGCAGAGGACTCAGGCTCCAGCTGTGGCCACCACATAATTTTATACAAGAAAAATAAAGTAAGTTAAGCCTGTTTTTTAAAAAAGCTTTCAAATCTACAGATGGTACAGAAAGAGTCTAACAGACCCCCAGGTAACATCCAGATTTGATAGATGTAAACATGTCCCTATGTTTGTATCAGACCTCTTCCTTTTAGAAATAAAACATTATTGATACAGATTAAGCTGCTGGCCCCTCTTCTCTGTTCCCTTCTTCCTCCCTCCATCCCTGGAGAAACCACTGAACTCAGGTTGCCGTGAATCACTCCTCGGTGTATTTTGCACTTTTACACAATATGTGTGGGTACACTTGATGATGCAGAATCATTGTTTTGTTTTTTTAATATATATTTTTATTGATTTCAGCGAGGACGGGAGAGGGAGAGAGAGATAGAAACATCAATGATGAGAGAATCACTGATCCGCTGCCTCCTGCATGCCCCACATTGGGGATAGAACCTGCAACCCAGGCATATGCCCTGACCAGGAATCGAAACCTGACCTCCTGGTTCATAGGTCAGCGCTCAATCACTGAGCCACACCAGCTGGGCCAGAATTGTTGTTTGGGTGTGTAGTAGTTCTTAGTGGCTTCTACCAAATCTTTCCAGCTCTTCATCTTCCAGGCCATACCTTCTGGGTCTCTTAGTTGGCTCAGTTTATGTCAGTTGACATGGTCATAAAAATGTCAATAGCTATGAGGAAATTAAGACAGGATGGTCTAAGATAGCGGCTGGCAAACTGCGGCTCGCGAGCCACATGTGGCTCTTTGGCCCCTTGAGTGTGGCTCTTCCACAAAATACCACGTGCGGGCACGCATATACAGTGTGATTGAAACTTCGTGGCCCATGCGCAGAAGTCAGTTTTCGGCCTGGGCGAGTCTATTTTGAAGAAGTACTGTTGATATTTGGCTCTGTTGACTAATGAGTTTGCCGACCACTGGTCTAAGATGTGCCAGATATTGATCACATATTTTATTTTTTTTTAAATATATTTTATTGATCTTTTACAGAGAGGAAGGGAGAGAGATAGAGAGTTAGAAACATCGATGATAGAGAAACATCGATCAGCTGCCTCCTGCACATCTCCTACTGGGGATGTGCCCGCAACCCAGGTACATGCCCTTGACCGGAATCGAACCCGGGACCCTTCAGTCCACAAGCCGACGCTCTATCCACTGAGCCAAACCGGCTTCGGCTGATCACATATTTTAAAACTGTATATCCAAGAAGCAAGTGGATCCAGTAAGAATCCACTTCGACAATTAATGGTAATTTTTTAAAAAAGGTTTCATCCCCCAAAAGTAGTGTTCTATAGACTGCACTTCTTAAACTTCAATATGTAACAAATCACTGACAGATTTAGTCAAAATTCAGGTTTTGATTCAGTAAATCCAGGGGTTAAGGGGAAAGGGATTCTGCATTTCTAACAAGCCCCTATAATGCTAGGGATGCTGACCTTGAGCATCTCCTCAGTTTGGAGACAAAAATCATTTTGCAAAGTATACTGAACAAACTGAATACAATGGGGTAAAAACATGACTTACGTTTTTTGTCCTGTGAGTAAAATGTCAATCTCACCTTTTTGCATCAGACTCTTTGGGGATGGAGAAGACCCCTCCTCTCACAGAGGAGAGAAGGAAAGCCACTGCAACTTGTCCAACAACAGTTTGATGTAACAATGATTTCTAGGACATAAAGAGTCTCTGCTTACAGAATGTATTAGGTTTCAATCAGAAAGACTGTATCACTAGAAGAGATATATTAGATGACAGATAGGTGATAGATGATAGATAGGTAGGTAGGTAGATAGATAGATAGATAGATAGATAGATAGATAGATAGATAGATACTAGTAGATAGATAGAGTAGATAAAGATATCAGGCGTTTAACCTTGTGCAATTAGTGGAGTTGTTAAGCAGTCCCTAAGATTGTCTTAGTGTCTAATACTCACACTCGAAGTGCACAGGGCAGGCAGTTAGGAAGAGAAGACAGATATAAAGTGGGGGAAAGCTAGGACACACTGGAACAAACTTGCCTCTACCCTTGGTGGTATGAGCATCTACAGTAGAAGCTGGCATCTTCATCATGGAGCTAAACACACACCTAGCCAAGGAGTTGAAGTTGAAGGAAGAACCAGGAGAAGGTGGAATAATTGCTGGCCTGGCTGCTGCCCTATGCAAAAATATAGATCACACAGTTCGTAGATCACACTCTGTGTGATCTACAAAATAGAAGCTACTTTATTCTGACCTCCAAATCTGGCCCAAGAATCTTTTAGCCCATCCTAACGGACACATACAGAGAAGGTAATTCCAGGACATAGTTCATTCAGCCTAGTCAAGCTGACACATTACAAAGCCACCACATAGAGACTGGAGGAGAGTGGTGATATGGTAAGTGTTGCTGGGGAGACGGTCACATGACCAGCTCTGCTCTCTCTTAGGTATCTTACAGGATGTATCTAATAACCCCTGGGTGGCTTTTTTTTTTAGAGTTAGGGGATGGGGGACCACTAATACTTACCTCTTATTTGGCTTTAACTTTTCCTCCAAAACATACAGAAACATTTTATATCCTATATAATAAAGAGCTAACATGCAAATGGTTGTCACTCCCTCGAGCCCTTGTGCCCTCACACCCTTGCCGGGGGACCTGAGGCTGGGCCAGGGGACCTGAGGCCATTCCCCCCAGCAGGCAGGGCTTGACAGGGGACCTGAGGCTGCACCCCTGCCCTGCAGGGCTGACCTGGGGGTAGGGCCACCCAGGTCTGGGTCTCGCGCAATTTCGAGGCCTGTGCGGGTGGGCAGGGACTTGCCTCTGGGTCCCATGGCGCACCCCAGACTCTGACAGGAGGGAGATTTTCATATACATTTTACTAATTTTCTTTCATCTCTGACAGTTCTATTATAGAGAAAGGGCCAATAGCAATATTAAAATATTTCCTCTAACTAATTCCTTTTTAATGTGCACGATTTTGTGCACCAGGCCATCAG